TATATATATATATATATATAAAACATTAACATTAAACCAGATCGAATTATATATATATAATTATATAATAAATATATATATAATTATATAATAAATATAATTTCGATCTGGTTTTTCTTATTTTTTTCCACTTCTCTGCTGAAATTCCCATCCATTCATTTATTTTTCCCATCTGTCCCTATTTAAGATAGATACTTTAAATTCTTTTCTGCTAATTCTTGTATCTGTATCATCTGTGGTTTGCTTCTGCTGCTGCTTTTCCTTGGTTATGAGTCCTATTCCCGCCTCCTCACAGGTTTTGGATTTTATTATTGCATCCTGGAAATTATATACAGAAGAAAAGTGAGAATTGAAGAATAATACTGATTATTTTTTTCTCCCAGAAATGTCAAGTTCTGCTCTCATCTGCTGGCTAAAGCGAGGAAGTGATTATTCAGATTTCAGCAAGTGTTCATTCGACTGGGGCTGATCCGTGGATCACCTCTGGTCAGCCCCACCTCTCCCACCCAGCTTCTGCAGGAAGGGCTAGTCTCCTAATTCTTAGGGTTGAATTTGGGATTCCTCGATTTCGGGGACTGGGAGAATGTGAGAGATGGTGCAGATGGAATGATCTCTTTCTGCTTCTCGGTCCTGCCTTCACTTGTGTTTTTCCCAGCAAATTTGGGGTGGGGTGGAGAGGACTGTCGTCCTCTGTTGAGCATATTATTATTGCACATGATAGTATTTCAGACTCCAGGACATCCCAGCTATCTCCAGTACCACCAGTAGCTCGGCTGGCTTCATCTCCGCCCCGCAAAGTTCTGGATCTTCACATCCTTTTGCTCTCCCTCCATCTAGATCTGCCAGGACTCAGATCACTGATAGAGGGCTCCTCTCTCTGGAAGTCAGTACATCAAGTCTCTCCTCCCTCCACTGTTCTCTGATGGTTTCATATACAAGTATGATTTTTATATTATCCAGATTAGTTTTTGGTGTTCCCATGGGAGCCAAGGTCTTCTGTGTCCTAACTGGAAGCAGCAAGTGCCTAGAATGGTAGCTGCTATTTTTAGCACTAGAGGAAATTCCCTAAATGCAAGACGTCCTGGCCCTGAACTCTTAATAGCCAGCCTAGTTCTGAAGCTTGTGTTTCATTCAGGAGAGTTGAAAATGAGACCGTGTGGGTGGCCTATTTTTAAAGGCTTAGTTGAGTTTCTAGCAAATGCTTTATGGGCCGCACTCCTATCTCTCTACCTTTACCATTTCGGGTCCTTCCAGGGCCCAGCCTCTATGTCTCTTTGCTTGGGGGTTTTCTCCCAAGGTCCACCCTGCCCATGTCCAGCAGGAACAGTCCTTACCAATGACTGGAGGAGGCTGGTGGATAAACACCCTGGTTCCCTTTCTCCTGGGTTGGATACCTTAGAGACCTGTGTTCTAGACAGTCTCCCATTCCCGCAGAAGAAGTAAGTCCCAGCTGCCCACAGAGGTAACTTACTTGTTAAACACACTTTCCTTGGCTATTTTCTCTTCCTGGCCTCACTGACTCCCTCCCTGGCATGTCCTGGGATCACCTTTCAGATCAACTCCCTGTCTTGGAATCACTGCCTAGATTCTCCCGTGGAAACCCAACTGAAGGCAGGCTTCAATTCAGATGTGCAGCCTCTGGGTACTACTTGGGTTTGTATAAAGGAGCCAGCATGGACAGGTGTTATTTGGAGCAAGGTGAAGTCAGCCAATGTTAGATGGACCTCTCCAGGGAACATCAGGCACATTTCAAGAATGCCAGGAGTGCTGATGCTGGAGTTCTTTATTATAAACTGGAGCCATCAACAGAATATGACCGTCCTAATCTGGGATGCACTTAAACTGTTTACTCTCTCCTGGTGGTTATGTCTTTAAAGCCTAACATGCGCTGGGTGTTGGATTTAAATTCATAAGTACATTTTTTTTTGCAAAATTGGCATGAAGTTCTTGCCACACAATATGCAAAATACATTAGTATGTTGCATCGAGAGCTTGGTGTTCTCTCTCTTATTATTTTTGTTTTAAATAAAGCAAGCTTGTAGGACCACAGCCCCGTACGTGTCTTGTGCGGATGCCAAGAACTGCTCTAAAAGCCACTTTCTAAGAAGCAATTTTCTTCTTGTCCCATAAAACTCCCCAAAGCACCTTAGGCGAACACCAGAGCGCTGGGTATGTTTGCAAACTGCAAATACGGCAGACATTTAATTACATCGAATTCATCAGAACCCTAATTGAGACAGGAACTCAAACCTTACTGCTTAATTACTTTGATTTCAGATGAGTAACAGACTTGGTCATGAGCAGCCCTTCAGGCCGGAATACATTAGAAAGAGGCCCGCGGGCCCTCACGGGGAATTCTCCCAGCCAAATGAAAGTGTGGAGCCACATAAATATGTGCCTAGAAGTAAATCCCTCACATGCTAAGTGAGACCCATGATTGGATTTATTAATCAGTTCAATTCCCAATATCCATCCCTTGCTGCGGTGTTCCAAGGCACTGGCCCCACCACCTGGGAATGCTTCTCCATGTATAAGGCAGGATTTATTTCTCACCGATTTTTCCTTTTCCTCCCACTGATGAGACAGCATGGAGGCGAAGCCTGGTCCTCTGAGATCGCTCTTCTATCAACATCTCCTTATTTTTTATTTTCATTTAGAACACCTTCTCCCTGACCTTCATTCCCTTCCCCACCTGGCCCCAGGGGGACGTTCCACCAACTTCTTGGCCAAATGATCACAGTGACTTATGGTGGGATTTGGAGGTGAGGACCGCATGGATCCTTATTCTTTTGAGAGCCAATAATGGTATCTTTTATTGAGCATTTACCAGGTAGGCTGACTCCTGCTTAATGCTGAACATGCTCTGGTTCACCCTTATGGCGATGCTAGGTGGTAGGTGGGCTTATACCCTCCCACTCCATAGATTGGAAAACAAGCTCAGAGGAGTGATAAAGTCACTTCTCCAAGTTTTCATGGCCAGCAAAGGTCAGAGTCTGGATTCAAACCCAGGCCAGTCTGAGTCCCCGACCCATGTTCTTTCCAAAACATAATTTGCTCTGTCTGCAAAGATTTCCGGGATTCTACAAACTGCTGAAAGAAGAGAGGTGGATGGCCTAGCAACCTCCAAGTGGGCACAAGACAAGGAAAACCAGAAGGAAGTGCTGTGGCATCCAGAGTCATCACGCGGGCAACTTCTAACAACATTGTGGCGTCTACTTCTCTCTGCGTGACGAGCTTGCAAAGACCTTCCAGACGGGGGAAAGTGACTGAGCACTTCAGCACGTGCTGAAGTTCAGGAAGCAATCTGCCTTTTAAGCAGGTGTTCTAACCAAGCCAGTGATTAACCACATTGCTAATAAATTATGAATACAAATGAATGCAAGCCACTTCATATGTAATTAGTTGCCTGGCATTTACTAGATACCTCCCTGTCATTTGTTTCATTTCTTTACGTTACTTCTCCCCCTTTGGGCTTGCCTTTCCATCAAGCCGCATGTACAAATGACTAATGCACTAATGACAACACGCATAATGGCCGGGCTAATAATCATACTGCTCATGGTGACAATGCTAATTAAGAGAGTGTGAACAGCAATAGCCTCTTCTGCAGGATGTGACTATTCATCTCCACAGGGCAGTGAGAAGACGGCCACAAGACGAGATCCACGCAAGTGTACCAAAGGCAAAGACAGAGACTCGTTTTTTGGTTTTTGGTTTTGGGGGGGGCACTACCAATATTTATAAGAGGTCTAAAAAAGACACCATATTGTGGGTCCACAAAATCTAAGACTAGAGATGATGGATCAAAAAGATGAGAAAAAATAAAATGTCAGTAGCAAATGGGGCAGAACTCAGCCACCACGTATGGACACACCTGTGGGCTCTGGAGCCCATTCCTGGAGAGATCGAGGCGTCCTTCTGCCTGTCACCCAGAAGCAGCCAACTCATCAGGCAACCTGAACTAATCAGTGGGCATGAAATGATGGCGTTTGGAAACAGGCAGTGGAAAACAGCAACGGTGTCCCAGGTGCCTCCTGCAGAGACTCTCCAGTTCAAGTTAGAGAGACGGACAGGGTGGGCGCCCCTGGCTGGCTGACTGGACAGCACAGGGGCCCAGAAAAGGGTGTGGAAGGAGGTTCAAATGGTGCTTTCTTTAGCCTTCAAACTAGCCAACACCTTTAGCAGGACCCTGTGTCCTCCACAGTGAGGGAGCTGGTTAGGATCACCAGGCTCTTCAGTAATGCAAGCGGAGTGCCCTAAACGGGCTTCTAGAAGGTGCTTTTCCTAGAAGACATTCAAAGTCTGGGTGTCTGGGCAGAGCTCAGGATCAAAGTTCCTATGAGGGAATTAGGACATCGGAGCCGGCAAACCCTCGGGTGCCTCAGCATCGCCCAGGCTACCAGTGAGCCTTGCACTTAGGTGACTTCTGGGTGTCTTCCCAGGACTTTCCAGACAGACACCAGACCCCATGACACTCCCTGGAAGTAGAACAGCCTCATAGACAAAATGCAGGCATGCAAAGACCCTCAGGATACCAAAAGTAAGCTAAAGTAACCATGTAAATAAATTGCTTGATGGCTGTCACAAAACTGTCCTATGCTGTGACAGCTGCGAATGGTTTTCAGCAGAAAAAAAATCTATCGTTTCCTCTCTCTCTCTTACTTGCTTTATCGCCAGTGAGTCAAAGCCATACCTTAAATTGTTCTAGGTCATTTCAGTTCAGATCATGACATTCAAAATGAGCTCTACACCTTCAGATTCGTAGCCTGCACCTTCAGGCTGGTTAATTATTTATGTGGACCCGGGTGCTCTGTACGCCATCAATATGGACACCAAACAATGGTGCCTGACATTTTCCAGTCCCAGGTGGGCAGCCTCCTGGGGTGTGAGATCCCGTGTCACTGCTGCCTGAGACCATTGGCCCCCATGCTGACGGCGCTCCTGCCCCACCTCCGTGCTGCCCCCTCCGAGTCCACACCACGTTCTGCCGCTGGCCTTACCTGCCCAGCAAAGAGCCCGCAGACACCGATGATGCACAGGATGTTGAACACCGCGGAGCCCACGATGGTCCCGACTCCCACGTCACCCTTGGTGATGAAGACCCCTGAAACAGACTTAATGTCAGCCTGGCTGTTGTGGCCAGTTGCATTCTAATGTGGGCGTGGGGTTGTTTTCACAAGTGTTAGTCAGACAGCTCTCAGGGTCCGCGGGAAACGGCCGAGGACGGGAAAGAGTTTTAAAATCTGCACTGGGGAGAGGGGGGGCGCCTGGGTGGCTCATATGGTTAAGCGTCTGCCTTTGGCTCAGGTCACGATCCCAGGGTCCTGGGATCGAGCCCCGCATCCGGCTCTCTGCTCAGCGGGGGGCCTGCTTCTCCTCCTCCCTCTGCTTCTCCCCTTGCTCATGTTCTCTCTCTCTCTCTCGTATCTCTGTGTCTCGAATGAATAAATAAAAAAAAATCTTTAAAAAAATAAAATAAAATAAAATAAAATCTGCACTGAAGCTATTGTTCCATGGGGGCATTGGCACAGGAACTGGGACACATTCATGTAAAGTGAAACTGTCACTTGAGTAAAATAGTAACAGCAACCACAGCGGGGTGGGAAGATGGTGTTGTGCTCCTTGGGGTCTTGAGAATCTCATTTCCTATTAGCCAACCCACTGGAAGGCTGTCTGTCCCCACAGTCCTTGACCTTAAGAGATGGCAGGGCTGAGATATCCCAAGATCATCACCTACCTATGACGGATGTGAACAGCTCTGGGGCCGAACTGCCTGCTGCCATGAATGTGGCCCCGGCCACATCTTCACTGAGGTGCAGGCGCTATAGAGGAGCAAGGACAAAGCACAGGTGAGTTGGATTCCCCTGGGAACAGAGGCGATCATGACTACTGAGGTCCCGAGCTCAGGGCCTCCCATAACCTCCCCCCTCCCCCACAACTGGCCTTTCCTGCACCATTCCCTGCTGGGACACTGCTCCTCTGGCCATCCTCCTCAGGGGCAGGATCAGGGAGAGGGTTGCATATCTCTGTGAGTTAAAGGCTCTTGACAAGATCTAGGAATCCCCAACCCAGAAGCTCCGGGTGTTGTGCAGATGACAGGGGAAGTGGGGTGGGTTAATGTGAGGCACTATGGGCGTCTGCCTCCTTTCTAAAGGGTGTGCCACTCACTTCCCTCCATGTTGCCAAATAGCTTCTTAAGAGATGGCCAAATCCACATTTTTACGCAAAACATCCTGAGTTTTTTTCAATACTACGCTAAATGCCCAGGCTAAATGAGGTAATCAGTTTGCAAGTCTTGATTCTAGGAGGTTACAACAGCTTTGGGGGTGGAGGGGTCACCCTCCTGAAACCTACTGCTCATCATTAATGCAGTTGGGAGAATGGGGGATGGGGCTGAGACCGAGTGGAAAGGATGAGGTGCCCTGTCAAGATGTCCTGTACAATGAACCCTCCAGGTTACTCTGTCTGTTAACTAAAAAGGTGATCTGCAAGAAGATGAGACAAATATATATATATTTGAGGCTGGTTAGCGTGTTTAGCCTTTCTGCATTCAGTCATGACCCAGAACGTAAGCTGCTGGCTGTCAGTAACTAGCCCGTTCCCTGTTGGGTCCCAGCCAGGAGATGCTTGAATGACAACAGTCCCTCTTCCCAGCGCACGGGCAGCTGCACTTCCTTGCTCAGCCATGGAGGGGCAGCATGGCCTCGGCGTAGGCCACTGGCTCCCCGGACCAGCAACAGGCTGCAGTGGGAGCCCTAATGGAGCTCTTTGATCTGGAGTCCTGGGGATCCCTCACTCTGGACTGAACAGCTCAACTTCAAATGTGACTCTAAGATGGAGGTGCTGATATTTCAAGTTGAAAGCTGTGGCTGTGAGGGGTGCAGGTGAGACCCCAGACATGAAGTCCCTGAAGGTAACCTAACACAGAGCTCACACTCTTTGGTAGTCAGTCAAGACTTGCCAGGAGCTGTGAGCCTGGGACTGCTGTGTCTGTTCCAGCTCAGGGTCCACGATGGGCATTAGACATAGAGTCCACACCTTGAGCTCATCTCCAGTTCCTCTCTCTCTCCTTCAAACACTGAGTTTGCTTCTTCCCCCATGTTTCCTTACATCCCCTCCTCTCTCATCCCTAATTCACTTGGGCCCTGGCAACAGCTTGCTGGATGCTCCGAATCACCAGCTAGGGAGGGGTAGGGTCTTCCTGCCTCTGGACGCCTCTGTCTATCAGAACATAGTTGTCAAGAGCCTTCCCGGCTCCCTCCTGAGCCCTGGTAACCACAGATGCCTTAGCCTCGCCTTCCCCAGGGTTCCTCAGAGGCCAATTCCAGTCCTGGGTTCTCCTCCCATGGTCCCGGAGCTCAGACTCTCCTCTGCACAAATATCCTTCCTTGAAATGTGTTGCCTTGAAATGTGAAAAATGCCTCCAAGGGCTGCTCCACTCCTGTCCCTGCACAAGCCCCTCCCTTACCCCCCACCCCAATCAAGCTGTGCCTCCCCTTTCCTCTCTCTCTACTTTCCAAGTTCACAGAACTTCATCCAGCCCCCTGTGTGCCTCACCCCGGAGCTGCTCTGTGTCCTATGGCCCGTGGATGGCAAGGACCATGCTCTATTTCATATCACGTCCTCCCCAAGGGGGTGTGCTCACAGGTGCTATGGATTTCCTCTACAGAGTAGAACACCTCCTGACAAGAATACGTATGTACATGTCTATGTAGGGTCGTAAATTTGCTATAAAAAAAAGTTGTGTGGGAAAGAGAGTAGTTTGCTTTGCATAATGAATAGAGCACCACGTGGTAGTATTTGAGAGATCACAAATGACCCCGGTTACGGGTGCTTCAGCACCTCCTCTCCTGCTACATAAGGTGACCCTGTGCTCAGGTGACATCGCTTGGGACAAAGGGCTCCCACACGTGCCCAGTGTCCATCTCAGATGCCACCTCATCGCTCTCCTTCTCCTTCTGCCCGATAACGAAACCTCCTCCTGGGGCCCCTCCAGGGCTCCTGTGGTCTGATTCTCTTTTATTTATTTAAACTATAAAAACCAAACAGATTTCTAGGATGTAGAAGAAACTGCTTAAGTGAACGATCTCTAAGTGTGGTTTCTGGACCAACAGCCTCAGCATCACCTGGGCAACTTGGGTCCTCCGCTGCCCCCTAAGAACTAATGAATCAGACATTCGGGGCAGTGGGGGTTGGGGGGAGGGAAGAGGAAGGATGACCAAGGGGAAGGATGACTGAGAACTACACGAGGACACGAGTCCCAGATGGGAGGCGTGTCTGGGAGAGAGCCTTTTGGAAAACAGGATTCTAAATTAAAAATAAAGTGGAAAGCTTCCAGATAAAGGAAACTACATTTCAAAACAGACGGAGATGAAAGAGGCGAGAGAATGAAAGTGTTCTAAATACGCTGAATATTTTCTGATGAAAGGGCTGTCATTTGGTCTTCAACCTGACGTTCCCCAGGCTGAATGAGAACAGAGTCCCTTTCCTGTTCTCTGTGGCCTGTTCTTTTATCGTCTCGCTTCTCGGGTCTCTGCTTGGCACATTTCTGCACATGTACAGAGAGGGGCAGGGTAGTGGAGGTGTGTGGCTGAAGACCTCCGGCTCTGCAAGGACCCCACGAGGGAGGTCACGGATGTGGAAGGAAACAGAGGAGGGGAAGATGGGGGACGTAGAGGGATTTAAAAGAGGAAAAGATGAGATGAGACAAAGGGAAGGGAACACAAATATCACCACGAATTGTCAAATGGAGCAGGGAGAGCTGGCAATGTGTGTGAAAGCCCAACTATGGGTCAGAGCCCTGATGTTCTAAACGGACCGATGGAGTTTTGTGCTAATATTGTCGGTCGCTCAGATGCACACTGATGTCTGGTGCTCCCGCCCAGGCATGGAGGGCTCCCCAGGACCTCCATGAAGAAGGCTGGAGCAGCACAGTTGCACCCCCTGCCCAGACATGCTGAGAATATAAGGCACTTACCTCACAGATCTTTTCCAAGGAGGGGACGAAGAAGTCGTCACACACAATGGCTAGCGCATAGAACATGTACATGGCCTGGAAGAGAGGAAAGAAGGGGTTAAAGTCACAGTCAAGGCAGAGTCATAGGGTGAGGGCCTGGCTACCCTCTGCTTTAATAACACCCTCTGGCATCATGGACACAACATCTTACTCAAAGTACAAAGACTGCAATTCCTGGGAGGCCCTCCGTGATCTCACCTCTCCTCTGACCTCATCATCTACCGCTCTCCCCCTTGTCCACCAAACATACTATGGATGCCTGCCTCAGGGCCTTTTCACCTGCTGTTCCCTCTGCCCAAATCATGCTCCCCTCAGATGACCTTGGCTCACTCCATCATGTCCTTCAAGTCCCTGGTTCAATGTCAACCTAAGCAAGGGACCTGGGACTCCCCTCCCTCCCATTTCTCTGTAACCACCTTATCCTGATTTGTTTTTCTTGACATATTAATTTGTTTGTTGTCTGTCTTCCTCACTAGAAGTCCACGAGAATGTGGACTTTATCTTATTTATCTCCAGCACTCAATAATATATGTGCAATGAAGGAAAAAATAAACGAATACTTCAAGTGAGGCTGTTCACTGTGCTGTTCCCTGCAGGACAGACTCTGCAATCTTGCTTCCTGTCAGCTATGACCAGAGAAACCCCTGGAATTCTACTGTTTGGCCATAAATTACCTCTTTACCTATTTAACGCCAGGTTTCTTCTCCAATTAATAAAATCTTATTTGGATTCCATTCATTGTTGGTTGACCACCTAGCATCCATCCTTCACTCCTTCCTAATAGGACCCCAGTTTCATCCCAATATCCACCATATTCCCTGGGAAGGTGACTCCACCCCTTCCTCCAGGAGTAGCTACTGACTGGCCAATCAGTATGCAGTGTTTCCCACTGATGGTTCAGGGGTGGACACATGACCTGGGCTGGCCCAATGAGATGGCAGGAAAGGTCTTATAGTCCTTGCCAGTGGGTGCCATTTCTCAACTTCTGGCACTGGTTATGGACAAGGAAGCTGGAAGTCCTGACTGCCCCTGGCGGCCATATTGAGGGAAATCGGACATGAGATGAAGTTGACCCTGAGTAACTTAATGGCTTCACCAAGCCATTGAGCACATGGTGCTGGAGCATGCCTGCCTCTGGACTTTGTAACAGGGCATTCAGGCCAGACTGATTTGGAGTTTTCCTGTTACTTGCAGCCCAAAGCATCAAATGGGTACAGTGGATCATCCTTCAAGTTCCAGTATCCTCAGCAGTAACACCACTTTCATGTTTTCATCTCTCAACATCTTTTCCTTTTAAGCATTGCTCCACCAGACAGACCTTCAGTCACACATTCCCAACCTCCCTCAGCACAGGGCACAGGCACATGACCCAGGCTAGCTGCCTGGACACTCCATTCTCTGTCACACAGTGGTGGGTGGGCAAAAGGTCTGCAAGGGGCCAAGGAGGGATTGACAAAGAAGCTGGGAGAGACGGACTCTCTCTTTATGAGATATAAACACCACCCAAGTCTGGAGCTGTTCAAGAATGCAGCTCTCGTAGTAAGAAGACCATCGAAGAGATGGGACAGGTAGACAGACACACACACACACACACACACACACACAGATACATACATACAGACACACACATTTACACAGATAGACACACACATTCACACAGGTGCTCAATGACACCACATGAACTCTGGACCCAGCTCAGTCTGAAGCCAAATTCGACTTTCCAATTTCATGAGCCAATAATATGCCTTTTACACTTAAGATGACTTAAGCAGAGTTTCTGTCACTTGCAGCTGTCCTTCATGAAGGCTTCTGTAGCAACCCAAGCATGAAATGATCTCTCTGGCCTCTGACTCTTGGTTGTTGCACTAATTTAGCCATCCCTCCCCTACTTTATGAACTCGTTTTCCTTTTCACACCTATGTGCTTGGGCTCTCCGACCAGACTGTAAGATTCTAAAATGCATCTTACCACTTGATTCTGTGGAAATATCAGACGAGTGCACAAAAACATATGCAGTGGGGATATTCTTTCCAAAATGCTGACTATAATAAATTATAAAACCTAACAAAATATACAATAGGGCATTGGTTATATAAACTGTGGTTCATCATTCAATGAAATCCTGCTAAAAGAGGTTATTTAAGTCCACAGCTAACAACAAGAAAAGGAATTTACAATACATTGCTAAATGAAAAATATTATAAAACAGTGAGTACAATCTCTTTTTGAGTATTATCTATTGTAGAAGCACATGCACACACACACACACACGCTCGCATAAGTATATTTGCACATAAGAGTTTGTAAGGCCATAAATCAAAATAGCTTCTCCCTCTGTTGGTGTGACTCTGTTTTTATAATTCCTATTCATATTTTCTGTTTGTCCACCTTGAATTTGTATTTCTTGTGTGAATTTTGTAGGTGGTGGAGACTTTAGAACAAGGATTCCGTCTTACATGTTTCTAATCTCCAAGGAACCTGGGATGTCTGGCATGCAGAGAAGCCTTAAAAATAACTTTTATTGATTGGTCTATTCATAATCTGTACAAAATTATTTGTCTGTGGACTTTTGGGGGAAGAAAATGTCACTTTAAAAAAATTAATGCTATATTTACAGCTTGTGGAGGAGTGAGAATATACATTCCCAAACTGCAATGGACTCAACCCCACTTTTCCTGTATGACTTGGCTGATCCAATGATATGCGGGCTTTATCATTATCTTGAAAGGATAGCCAGATGCAGTAATTAGAATACAGAATTGCACATTTGTGAATTAAGCAAGATCTAAATAAGCTGTCTATAGCTGCCATACTCAACTCCCTGAAATAGCCAAGTCTATAAATCATCTCTTTAAGACTATGTTCCAATATCATGTATTGATCCTGTTGTGAAGCAAGAAGCTCCATCTAACATAACACAAATCAACACTTGGATTGGGTTGAGACATGAAGATTTCTTCCAGGCTCTCTGTGATTTCAAGGGTGATGACCATTAATTCCCCTGCACAGGGGAGTGTGAGACGGGGATGCCCACCCTCGACCAGATGCCCCTCTGGACACCTGAAGGGGCCTGCCAGGCAATGGGGCTCCTCTCCAGCCATAGAGTACCTCCCGGCCTGCCACTTTGCTTACAAGAAACTCTGCTCTAATTCCTGCCATGTTACCAGTAGAAATCAGGTTCCCACTGGAAAAACAAATAAAATAGAACAAAGTATTGATGGGGGGAGGTGCTGTGCAGATAGGGGGGTAGGAAGGATATGAAAATCAGTACCTTCCGCTCAATTTTGTTGTGAATCTAAAAATGCTCTAAAAAAGGGTCTACTACTACTACTACTACCAAGAAACTAAAAAACAAAAACAAAAAAACTGAACAAAGGAACAAAACAAACATACAAAGTCAACCTTGAAGATACAACCTTGAAGAACCTTCTTCAACCTTGAAGAAAGCCTGACGATATTGATAGCACCATCAATACAACTGGTCTGAATATTTTAGAGTGGGGCACTTTTGCATTAAGTTGGCCATTCCTTTATTTCCAAAGGATATAATAATATGGTGACAATGACTAATAGCAATACTATTAACATTTGCTACTATTTGTTGGGTCAGGAACAGCAGGCACATTCCAGGTACTTTATGAGGGCTGTCCATATAATTTCTCTAATTCCTGGGGGAGGCAGGGAGTTACTGGCCCCACTTCCCAGATACCTCCGAGAGTACGGTAGCTTGTCCAGGACACATGGATGGCAAATGGCAGGCCTTGGATGTGACCCCAGGACTCTCTGAGTCTTCTCACCGAGGCCAGCTGCCTCCCCCAACAGAGGCCATTCCTGAACTGCTGCCCAATTGACACCTTCTATTTTCAGTTGGCCTATGAATAAGCTGACCTCTCCAACTACACAAAGGGAGGGATGGTTTTGGAATCCCAGCCATCCACTTCTGGGGGCTGGTTGTTGGAATCACTGATGCTCTTTCTTATTTGTTTTTATTTTATAAGCTTAATTTTGATTACATACTCACATACAAATATACTATTTACATAAATGTACCAATGTGATCAGCACGAAGAGGAGTAAACCTTAGTTACCTCTTTATTTGTAGCAGCTTCCTGTTTTCCTCTATAAATAAATGGACAATCCACCCTGCTGCAATTAACATCTTTAAACATACATCCTTTTGCATTTCTAGGATAAACTTCCAGATGCTGGAACTGTTGGGTGATGTTCTTTTTTAATATTATTTTTACAAGGTGCGCTAAAAAATACAAGACAGACTTAAACCCTCAAAAATTTTGAGGTGAGCCAATACCCTGGGGCGGCAGATGTGTGGCCGCGCCCCCTGGAATCTGAGCCTGTGGGTTGGCTACAACCAGAACAAGCATGTGTGGGATGCTTTCTGGAAATGATGAGTGGGGGGTGTGTGCAGAGGAGAGGAGAGGAGGGGTCCATTTCAGCTTCAACTCCAAGCTCATGATCACAGGGTTCCTCACTTCCCTGGGAACTCATCTGGGCCCTCACTGTAGGCATCTGTACTTTGGCACTGACTGCGTGCTGCCTGGACCGTGAGCCCTGTTTTAAGTTCATGTACCTGGCTTCTCTTCTCTTGAAAAGGGCAGCAGCTGTGCTCTTCCCACGTTCACACCCCGTCTTAGGGCAGGCTTGCACAGAATGGGGGCCCTGTTTATATGAAATGAATGCATCCAAGCAGGGCTGTGCCCACAGAGTACGGTGTCACCTTTGGAAGCCATCAAGGGAAATGCCTGCGTAGCATTGACTAGCACAGCAGCTGCAGAAGGAGAGGCAGCCTGGAGCCTTGGAGGAAGCCCAGGATGGGGTCAAGGACCTCACATCAAATCCCACATTGTGACCTTGAGTGACTCTCCTTGCTTCCCTTAGCCTTCAACACGAGACCAATCACACCATGCTCTCAAGTTAGCATATGAGGCTACCATGGGGAGTACATGGAAACGGAAGAGCAAAAGGGCTTGGTTGTGGCCAGGCACCTCACACAGCAACAATAATACTACGAGGATGTG